AAGTCTGCTAAACAACGCAGCTAAGTGGAGAATGCTAGCTGACAAACACTTCTAGTTATTTTTTTACAAATTAAAGTGAAGTACTACGTTTTAAACATCATTCGAAAGAGGAGATCCTCCTCTTTCCAGTCTATTCTCGCAAGTGACAACAGCTACAACAATACGATTTCACTATACGAAAACCTAAAAATCATAGTCATTCTTTTAGCACAATTCTACTGCAGAAACAGCTCAATTATGCACTTTATTTCCATAATCATATTGTGTGCAAACAGTTTTAATATGTATGTTTATCATCGTTCTTCGCAATCTTCTATCTCTGGATTCGGCGCGAGACCTGCAAACAGGTGTACAAGATCGTTTTTTTCACCTTCTCGAACGAATCATTACTTTTTCATCTGACCTTGGTGAAGGGGGGTGAGCAAATTTTTCACCCTATCCTATGCTCACGAACAGCTGGGTTTAGCTAGATAAGAGGAGTCCCAAAACAAGGAGTAAAAAAACAAATTTTAAAAGTTGTAAAAAAAGGTGTCTAACCAGATTTCAGGACTGCTTCACATAATTATACCTGATACTACAAGTCTCCTCTACCAATGAAGACTATGCGCAATATAGTCTACATGCCCTTCACAAACCGGAACTTTCGAAAAGTCCGGATCGACTTGACGTTACGAAGGAGTCTGACCAACAAAAGAAGCCACAAAAACGACACAAATATAAAATTATGAAAGCACGAAAATGAGAGCTACCTGTGATCACTCACATGACAATGGGTCATAATTGGTCACAATTCATTTCAATGAAATTGCTTAGTTACAATATTTCACTTTTGAAAACAGACATCGAAAACCTGAGTGTACCGAGTTGCAGGAAATGGGAGAATGCCCATCGAAACATCGGTCTTCCAGTCGCATAACGCAGTAGTCAGCGATGAAACAGCTGATTGCTAGCGAAACCCACATGTGACACATCGCTCAATGTTTTGCTAAAACGCCACGAAATCAATACTTCGCGAAGCACTTTATAAAAGTTGACATATTGATTTGTTCTAACAATTCGAAGAAACCAGTTGGATGAATGAGTGAAATGTCGGCAAACAGAGCTAAATAACGGCATCCAAAGGTTCAAAAGCCCGTCCTTCTTGCCAATATACTTTCAACACTGTATATTGCATTCAAAGT